TCTTCTGTCACCTCCACCTCCTTTTCTTCTTCGTCGTCGTCTTCTCTTTCTTCTTCTTCCTCTTCCCCTTGCTCTTTTTCTTCCACCCCCTGCTTTTTTGCTTCGTCGTCTTCTTCTTCTTCTTCTTCTTCTTCTTCTTCTTCTTCTTCTTCTTCTTCTTTTCCCCTTGCTCGTCTTCTTCTTCTTCTGTTATTACTACTATTATTATTATTATTATTCCATTTTCTATTTTTTAAAATTTTTTTCTAAGACTAGCATAGCTTCATCTTCTCCTCTTCCATCTTTTCTTCTTCTTTAGTTATATCCCCGACTCTTGACGTACTACGCAGCTCTGCCCTCTTGGCAACTCTGATCATTCAGTTGTGTCTATCATCTCCTTCAGCTTTCCTACCAGTCAAGAACCTCCACCCAAAGAATATCTTTCTGTTATCAATGATTAGATTGAGACTCATTCCGTGATTTCCTTCGTGACGTCCCTTGAAATGAAGTTCTTAATCCCCCTCTTCAAAAATGTGCGTCTGAGGTCACCTCCATGGTGAAAGCCGGCATCGATGCTTTCATTCCATCTCCTTAGTTCACGCCTTCATGCTCGGTCGCTATGGCCCACGGGAATCACTTCTTCCGGCTGTACCAGAGAGATACGTCTATTTGCAACAGGCGCCTCTTAGTCCCTGCTCGTAACGAGTGGAAGCATCTCCCTCAAAGAAGTGAAGTTACTGTTTGATGGAAGAATGAAACAACGTATAGTATCTTGCAAGTTCGGTTCTAGAGATTATTGGCGATTCTGCAAGTGTGTGCTGAACAACAGCAGACCCTCAATTACTCCTCTATTCAATCAATTTGCTGATATCTACAGTAGATAAGGTTGAATGCTTTGCTCGGAAATTCTCTTCCAAATCAACACTCGGAGTACGCACACCCGATTTACCTAATAGGACAGAGATCCTACCGAGCGATATGTGCATAACCCTGTCACTGGTATCAGGCATCATTTCTAAATTCGACTCCCATAAGGCAAGCGGAAATGACGGTAATCCCAGCCTTCCTCTGGCTCCAGTTCTCTCCAAACTTTACAACTATTGCCTCGATGCTTCCCGCTTTCCAGCATGTTCGTAGTCCTCCTATGTAGTTTCTGCTTTTAAGAACTCTGGAGAATCTTCTGACCCTCTAACTATCGCCCTAGTATCCTACCGATTTTCGGCAACATATTCGCGGCTTTAATCAATGCTGAAGTGATCAAGCATCTTATCTCTCACGAACTACACTGACAAACAATATGGCTTCCGTTTTACCCGGTCTAACACCGACTTGCTTACGACCATCACTGAATATGTATATCGAGCTCTTGAAAATAACGACGAAGCTCGAGCTTTGGCTCTAGATATCTCGAAAGCATTTGACAGGATTTGGCATGCTGGTCTTCTACGTAAGCCTCAGGGCTACTGTATTATATGACGATTGTTTGATTTAATCCAATCATTACTATTAAATCGTGAAATGAAAGTCGTTCTAAACGGGCTTACTTCCAGATCCTTTCACACCAACTCTAGTCTCTCCCAAGGCTCTATCCTGGGTCCAACGCTGTTTCTGATCTTTATCAATGATCTTCCTGATGTCATTAGTCCCCAAGTAGGCATTTATGCAGATGACACTACCATTTATTCCTGTCTCAATAGCAAATCCGCCCGAGCCGACAAAGTTAACCTTACCGATGCTCTTGAAAAGGACCTCTAATCTGTGGTTAAGTGGAGCAGAAATTGGCTCGTAAATTTGAATGCCTATCTATCACAGTCGGTTAATATCTATCTATCTATCTGAAGTTCTTGAAACTTCGGAAGGACGGGTCGTCTCTGCTTGAATTCAGAACGCCAGAAACTATACCAACGTTGCTTTACCAAGTGAAAGCACGTGTAACATGATTAACCAATGAAAATCCAACAACACAAAATTAAAAATGCCGTAAATTCTTTCTTCTTTTTCTCCATATGTCTGATGAAGCTTTAATTAAAGTTAAACAAGTTAAATTGATAAATGTTTCCTATTTCTTCTTTATCATTTTTTTATCATTTCACTTCGAGCAAGCCGGTAATGGTAATAGTACTACGTGATTTACAGGGATTGGAATTGAAAGCGAAGACTGGTCTACCGCAGAAAGAAATGGCAACCTACTACGGGAAAATCTGCCTCGTCAGTCATGTATCGAAAGCGTGTATCACGCATGACACATAACTGAACTGATTCGAGTTTTAATCAATGCTGAACTGATTAAGCACCTTGTTGACGATGTTCACCATAGTCTATGAATATAGAATACAGCGCAGTACGTAATCTGTTCAATGAAAGAACGTTAAAGATTAACACTCACGAGTCAGACACTCTACTGAATCTGACTATATCGCCAATATCACCAGCAGCTGTCTTCAGTCTTCGATATCAAAGGCAGGCAGATATTACCCCCCCTCGAGGGTTACATGTAGCACAAGGCCGGGATTAACGTGGGATCTCTGAGCCCGTAGGCTTGGCCAAAAATATTCCCGATTCGAACGGGTTCAGGGGCAGTCAACCTCCCCGAACAAGTCTCTACCCTTCGGCGGAGCCTCGACCGGGTTATCAAAGGCTGGCAGTGGATATTCGGGAATAACATAGCCGCCTTTATACACGTCGCATTGAATATTTTGAGCCTTCTGATTGGTTAACCCTTTATTGGTGAACTATAAAATGAGTCAGTTCATTTTGGCTGGCTCACTAGCACATCAGGGTACCCATAAATTCCAACACACCTGACCTCTTACGACCTACTCTCTGACAAACAATATGGCTTCCGTTTTGCCATATCTACGGCTGATATGTTAACGGCCATCACTAAATATGTATATCAAGCTTTTGATAATAACGGTGAAGCTCAAGCTGGGGTTCTAGATATCTCGAAGGCCTTTGACAGGATTTTACAAGCTGGTCTTCTACGTAAGCTTCAGGGCTACGGAATTACTGGACGTGAGTTCGATTTAATCAATCGTTCCTATCAAATCATGAAATGAAGGTCGTTTCCTACGGGATCGCTTCTAGTTTTTTTCACACGAACGCTGGTGTCTCCAAAGACTCTATCCTGGGTCCAACGCTGTTTCTGATCTTCCTGGTGTCATCAATTCCCAAGTAGGCATTTATGCTGTTTGACAGTACCATTTACTCCTGTCTCAGTAGCAAATCCGCCCGAGCCGACAAAGTTAACCGCTGCTCTTGGGCAGGACCTCCAATCTGTGGTTAAGTGGAGCAGGAAATGGCTCGTAAATTTGAATGCCTCCTTACCCGAAACATTCAATCAACATCGAGAATCTTTTCTGCCCGCCATCAGTATGTCTGATGCTAGACTCATGTAAAGTAACATACTGCGGTTTCTTAGTCTCACGTTTTCAACTGACTTGAAAAAGAACGACTAGTTCGAATCAACAGCTGCATCTACTGCAAGGAAATTCGGTTTACTGTAACGTGCCAGAAGGTTCTTCTCGTCAGAGTCCATCTTTCACATTTATAAATCTATCATTCGCCCGCGCATGGAATACCTTTGACATATCTGGTCTGTTACTCCTGCTACTTATTTCGGGGTTCTTGACAAAACCCAAAAAAGGATCTGCAATCTAATCGATCCTGACTTGACATCTCAACATTAGTCTCTTTCTCACCGATATGACGTGGTTTTTGTTCAGTCTTTTCTATAAATATTTTTTTAGTAACTGCTCTGACGAGATTTTACTCTGGTGCCCGTCAATGTGAGTTTCAGTGTGCTACTAGATTGGCATTTAGGTCCCACCCTTTTATTGTTGAAATAGTTAAACGTGACCGCAAATTCTACTCCAACAGTTTCTCTTCATACACTTCCGGCGAATAGAACTCCCTTCCGTTTACTCGCTTCCCTGAAAACTACACTCTGCAAAAATTTAAATGCAACATTAATCGTCATCTTCTGTCTTCTTGAACCCCGTTCATCGTTTGTCCTTTCATCAATCCTCCCTGTAAGACCATATATAAAGACCAGCTCGCAAACCCTGTCAAAACCCATCGAGATATCTAGAGTCCCAGCTCAGGCTTCACCGTTATTATGAAAAGCTTGATATACATATTCAGTGATGGCCATAAACATATCAGCGGTAGATATGGCAAAACGGAAGCCATATTCTTTGTCAGAGAGTAGGTCTTAAGGTGCTTAATCAATTCAGCATTGATTAAAACTCGAATCAGTTCAGTTATGTGCCATGCGTGATTCACGCTTAGGCAATCATGTATCGAAAGATACATGACTGACGAGGCATATTTTTTCCTGGAGTAGGTTGCCATTTCTTTCTGTGGTAGACCAGTTGCCATCCGAGGCAATAGAACCCAGTCTGTCCTGCTATTTACCCATAGCTGGAGGGAGAAGAAGAGGATTCATACCTTACCCAAGGGTATTAGCACGCAAGTTAATGTAATGGATTCGACTGGAATTCGGACTCGGCTCTCCGATTCCACAATCCAAGCTGCTTTCAATCAGTTATGTGCCATGCGTGATAAACACTTAGGTGATCATGTATCTTTCGATACATGAATAACGAGGCAGATGTTTCCCGCAGTAGGTTGCCATTTCTTTCTGCGGTAGACCAGTCTTCGCTTTCAATTTCAACTCCCTCTAAACCACGTAGTACTATTACCATTACCGCCTTGCTCGAAGTGAAATGATAAAAAAATGATAAAGAAGAAATAGGAAACATTTATCAATTTAACTTGTTTAACTTTAATTAAAGCTTCATCAGAGATATGGAGAAAAAAAAGAAAGAATTTTACGGCATTTTTAATTTTATGTTGTTGGATTTTCATTGGTTAATCATGTTACACGTGCTTTCACTTGGTAAAGCAACGTTGGGTACGTTTCTGGCGTTCTAATTCAAAAGCTGGACGACACGTCTGAATTCAAGATAGATAGATGAATATGAACCGTCCATCTGTGATAGATTTCAAGAACTTACATATTAAGAGACTGAGATAGATAGATAGATAGATATGAACCGTCTGTGATAGGTAGATAGATAATGAATGAAAATATTAACTGTGATATTGATACATATTAAAAGACTGAGACAGATAGATATTAAGCGACTGTGATAGATAGATAGATAGATATGAACCGACTGTGATAGGTAGATAGATAATGAAAAAAACTGTGATAGATAGATAGATAGATAGATAGATAGATAGATAGATATTAACTGAGAATGATAGATATTGACTGATACATATAAAGAGACTGAGATAGATAGATAGATATATAGATAGATATATAGATAGATAGATAGATAGATAGATAGATAGAAACAGGACCAGATGATAGATGAATAGATAGATAGATATTATTAACTGAGACTGATGCATATTGAATATAAAGAGACTGAGATAGATAGATATTAATAGATAGATAGATAGATAGAAAGATAGATAGAAACAGGACCAGATAGATAGATAGATAGATAGATAGATGGAATAGATGAACTGAGACTGACTGTGATAGATATTAACCGACTGTATAGATAGATAATGATAAAAAACCAGATGATAGATAGATAGATAGATAGATAGATAGATAGATAGATAGAAACAGGACCAGATAGATAGATAGATAGATAGATATTAACTGAGACTGATAGATATTGACTGATACATATAAAGAGACTGAGATAGATAGATAGATATATAGATAGATAGATAGATAGATAGATAGATAGAAACAAAACAGGACCAGATAGATATAGATAGATAGATAGATAGATAGATATTAACTGAGACTGATAGATATTGACTGATGCATATTAAAGAGACTAGATATATATTAACACTATAAAAGATAGACTGATAGATAGATAGATAGATAGATAGATAGATAGATAGATAGATAGATAACAGGATAGATAGATAGATAGATAGATAAAATAATTACCAGATAGATAGATAGATAGATAGATAGATATTAACTGAGACTGATAGATATTGACTGATGCATATTAAGAGACTGAGATAGATATTAACCGACTGTGATAGATAGATAGATAGATAGATAGATAGATAGAAACAGGACCAGATAGATAGATAGATAGATAGATATCCATCTGTTTGTTTGTATGCCTCCATCTATTTTTCCATTCTTCCGATATATTTCTCTTCCAGTCTGTTTATATCTGTTCATTTTAAGTCTCTTCATATCAGTCTGCCTCATTCCATTTCTTTCTATCTATCTATCTATCTATCTATCTATCTATCTATCTGTCCGTCTAAATAACTTTATTCCAGACATCCTTGCATCCATCACCGACATGCTACTCCCTCTCGCTCATTTCCAAAGTCTTCTCTGTCTCCTTCCTCTCCCACACTCGCCTTGCTCTCCTGAGACTAGCACAACGTACATTATGGCTTATTGATTTTCGTGTCGATGTAGGATTTCATTATTTTCATCGGCCTGCGGTCTCTACCCATTAATTGCTAAGATTTTCTACACTGAAAACAGACTGCCTGAGACCAGTTTGAAAAATTCAATCATTGACTTTTTTCGCCTCTTGTCAGTTTGCATTAAGACTTTTTTTTCTCTCTTCGATTTGTCTTCCACTGATGATCATATCGACAAAAGAAACGAATTACGAAACAGAGAAAGAACCGCGCAAACAACAACACACGCAATAACAAAAATGAACAATTTTTTTCCACTATTCTTTTTTATTTGACTTCATAAGAGACTCACATATGTCTGATTATATAAAGGCAAAGCGCGTTCGTGCATTATATGGGGACGTAATCTTAATACGATTGCAAATTAATGCGTCTAGGAAACCACTAATCAATGCCATCCATTTTGAATGAAAAAAAAAAAAATGGACGCAAAAAAAAAAAAATGGCGGGAAACAAAAGGAAACTATGCGACGGCAATAAAAAGAATAAAAAAAATCAAGGGATGAATATCTAAAGGAAAATTAAGAACTGTATATATCTTCTGGGGAATTTAAGGAGGTGACAAGTCGGGAAAATTGGCAGTTTTGAGAATATTGACACACAATTTGGATATCGAGTAAAAGAAAAAAAATATATCAGTATGCCAGATCAGGCCGAAAATAGAATGCTCCTGCCATATATGGGCAAGAGATTTCCCCGCCATTACTTTATGATATGTCCCGGAAAGAGATATATTTGTTCGAAGTAGCAAAGTGGTTTTGGACTACTATAGCCGGGAAGGACAATCTAGCAGGTAACCGTAATGGACTGGTCCTCATCGTAGTGGTAGGCAATAGGTGAAGACTATAGGCGTAGCCAATACGCGCCCTCCATGTACCTCCACATCAGTCTGTATTTATGGCTGACACCAGCCAATTATATTACTGTGAGGGGGAACCCAGGTGTGTGCATATTCATTACATCACTTTACAATCTCGATCGAGACCTTAATTTTCTACGTGGTCTTGTGGGCTGATATATTGTTTTTACAACTTGTTATTCCTTTCCCACAGACGAAACATTGCAAGCATCTCGCTACTCGATGGCTATTTCAATAGGAAATGTTCAGACGAGGTACGTTCATTAATTTCATCAACTCTAACCCTCACAACAAAAACTCACTACGCTGTCTACACGTAGTGGAAAAACGCTCATTCTTTTCATATACCTCTGGTGATATGTAAGTTCCGCCCGAACGGCGTCTTGTCACGTGTGAATATCTGCTTCTACGCCAGAAAAGGAAAAGTTTTCCGCATCGTATCGTGACCAGCGATGAAAAGTGGGTACACTACGATAACCCTAGGCGCAGAAGACTGTGGAGTAAGCCCGGCCATGCATTAACATCGGCGACAAAAACGAATATCCATGCTTCTGCTTTGCATTTGGTGGAATCAGCTGGGTTTAGTTTATGAGCTGCTCAAACCGACCAAAAGCTATCGACTACAATTGATGCGTTTGAGCCAAGCATTGAAGAAAAACCAGCCGCTATACGAGGAGAGATAAGTGATTTTGCAGCATCACAACGCTTGGCCACATATTGCAAAACCGATGAAAACCTACCTAGAAATGCTTAAATGGGAAGACCTACTCCACCCGCCGTATTCACCAGACATTACCCCGTCCGATTATCACTTGTTCCGATCGATGCCATATGACGTGGCTGAGCAGCACTTTTATCCTTATGAAGATGCCAAATGGGTCGACTCGTGGGTAGCCTCAAAGGACATTTTGCCGACGTGGAATTCAAATTCTGCCAGAAAGATGGGAAAAACTAGTGGCTAGCGATGGAAATACTTACAGTGACATGTTTCTTACTAATTTTTATAAATAAAACATTACTTTTCATGAAAAATCACTGATAATTTATTCAAGGTCCTAATATATATATTATTATTATTTCCTTGGATTTCTCTTGTATACACATTTTCTTCCGAGTCCCAACCAAAGAGTTAAAATCAGAAATGGCTTCATGACGTTTTCCACTGATCATTTTTGTAAAAAAATAAAACAACCTAATGCAACAGATATTTTACATTGATAAAGCTTTTCGAAACATACGTTTGCCACATAGGAAAAAATGAGTAACTACCGACAACAAGGTTCGAACGTGATATTCCGAACTTATGAATATGTGTTTCCCACCAGGTGTACAAATAGCGGTGTGAGGCTACTGATATGGGTGACTATTGAGTGTAACTATCTAGTCGAATTAGTGTGAATTATTGTGCATCGATGTTTTGAGTTTTGATTTAGGATTCACCGGACGTCAAGCCGAGCCGCGCTACGAACAAGGTATTCACTGAAATGGTTAATTATCTTTGGTTGACTTTTACTTCTTTTTTTTTTTGTTAAGTATTTATTTTTAGTTGTAATTAAATACTGTTTTATTTTAACATTGAAGTCTTGAGTTATACTTAATCATTTACGGCCACCGTATGTCACAAAAACTTTCATGAACGTTTTTTCTAAATGACAAGTACTTATAAGTCTATCAGGATAACACAGCCAAATTTATTACATAGATAAAGCTTCGTAATGTGTGGGGCTGTACTTGTGTGTACAATTTTTGTATTTCTTTAAGGCATGGGCTACCAGGAATCTCTTCAATGAGTCTATTGGAAACTTTTCAAATCAGTCTGAAGGCTCCAACTACAACTGGAATTACTGATGTCCACATGTGCCACATTTTTGAGATTTCGTCTTCTTCTTCTTCTTCTTATTATTATTATTATTATTATTATTATTATTATTGAGTTAGATAGAAGTGATGCCGGGGTACAAATATACAAAATCCAATATACCTAGTGTCATAAATGTATACGAATCACACGTATCACAAACATATGTACGAGAAAAGGAATTGATAAAAGGAACACATGACCTTGCAGCTGGGGTCCAGTTAGAAAAAGCAGTCAAGTCGGGCAAGTGATTCTACTCGGGCGGGGTTGACTGGATTTCGAAATATGTAAACAACACTCTCGACAACTGGTCAATGAGCTGTCCTTTTACTCCAGTTCATGAACAGACGTGTACAGTGCGTCGTCCCCTGGGAGGTTTGCAGAACAGATTAAAGTCAGTCAAATGAGAAGTAAATCTGTGGTACTTAACAGAATATTTACTGCAGCCATTTTTAATTCATCAAGACAAAATCATGTACAGGTTGAGGAGGATTCTTTCTCTTCGTCTTCCTCTCTTGTCGAACTCTCTGCCTTCGGGCGGAGAGGAATCCAAACGAGGCTATGCCGAAGGACAGTCTCATTTGTGGAGACAGACAAACCCGACCTGTGTATACGTTGTCTACGGACAATTTTTGTCCATTTTTGTTGGATCGGACTCCCCCAAAAAAAAAACTGGCCTTGTGCCATACCTTACCTTTTGGTGGGGGGGATAGACGGGTACCCAACTCAAATCATTTAAGATTAAGAGGTATGAGAGTTAGTATTATTGAGCGAAAGAGCAGAATTTCAACAAATCGAGGGGGCGTTAAATAATCCTAACACGTCATGGTATCCAGTCTGATAAATACATACAACGCACATGCAGCACAGCCAAATATGCATGATATGATGAGAGATTTTTCACAAAACGAGCAGGTAAACTTACAGATGGGTCAAAGTTAGCAGTAGCGTGCAGAAGGTGGGGAGGCAGAAGGTGAGACGTCTCCCCGGACTTCAATATAGGGCTGGCATCTAATCAAAGACTTCAATAAAAATTTAGTTTGCATTTGATTTGAATAATAATTCTTTCATGTTTCATCTGTTTATTTTTTTGTTTTTGTTTTTTTCTGGCTGTAACAGCAAAATTGCCCAAATCGTGTAACAGCAAAATTGTCCAATTTTTACATTAAGCTCTGAACCGTTGTATCTTAGAAATGATTAAAGATATCTTACTGCAATACTACTGGATTCTACTTTGAGCAATAAGAATGTGTAATTACTCTCCAAACTTAACAGAAGAATGGTGATAAAATCGGCCATAAACGAAAATTACATTTTCATCTTAATTAATCTTAGCTAAGGATCGGAAGCTCATGAAGTATTGAAATATATATAAATATATATATATATATATATATATATATATATATATATATATGTGTGTGTGTGTGTGTGTGTGTGTGTGTGTGTGTGTGTGTGTTGCGTGTGTGTGTGTGTTATTCTAGGTTCATTTTATAACATATTCAAGATGATATTCGCCCTCTCTAAACTACTAACTTTCTATTCTTTCTTTCTTTCTGGAGCAACAAGGTCCATCAAACGTTTCACGTATGATTTTTTACGCAAGATTATTTTTTCACTGATCGTTGGACTCTCATTGCTGATAATCCTCTCTCAAATGACAAACGTCTTATGGATCGAGTTGGATCTTTTCTAATTAATCTCGTTAGTTCTGTTGAAATAACGATCCCTCTTCTTGTTGTGACCTCCTGACCCAGTTTTCCTCCCTACTGTTTGTAAAACGTATTCGCTTCCTCCGTCTTTTTAAAACGTATTCGCTTCCTCCGTCTTTTTAAAATGTATTCGCTTCCTCCGTCTTTTTAAAATGTATTCGCTTCCTCCGTCTTTTTAAAATGTATTCGCTTCCTCCGTCTTTTTAAAATGTATTCGCCATACTCTTGATGGTTCTT